ACTTAATTTGGATACAAATCGGTTAATACCAAGATCTCCAACCTAAATTAACAAATTTCATTTAATACAACAATTCGATCATTTTTATAAAATTTTACATCTTGACTTTTGATTTTATTCAAATAAGATTCTGTATCACTTTTAACTGTTGTTGTAAATTCTGTTAAATCTCTACGCACAAAATCCAATGCATCAATCGACTACAAAAACAAACAAACAAAGTAATAAAACATTTTTTTTTTTCTTTTTTTCTTCGTCTAATAGAATTTGTCTTACTTTATCACGAACCGATTGAATAGCTGATGTGAACCAACTTGCCATATTTAAAAATATCTACAAAAAGTAACAAAAAAACAAAAATTAAATATTACTTTTTTAATCACTAAAAAAATATCTTTTTATTTATTGCACTTCATCAACAAAAAAAAATGTTTCCTTTCGTCCGAATATGTGTTTAGTAAGAAAAATAAAATTATAAAATAACAAATCAATAAATCAAAAATGCTTGAATAATAATCATTATAATAATATCTGAATGAATTAATCATCACAACGGGTACCTTCACGAATGCAGGCAACTATATTTGATATACTAACTGATGTACCAGCGATAAATACATAAAAACCGAATGTTATTATGAATAGATTTAATATTAATTGCCATTTAAATCGACCAAGATTATTTGGCCAAAATGTTATTGTTTCACATATAGGAGGAAATATAACTGAAAGTGCTGCTGATGCTATAGCACCGACTTAATTAATCAAAAAAACAGAATTATTGTTTTTTTTTTTCTTAACTAAATAGGGTAAAAAACACAATACCTAATGAAATGACTAGACCAAGATTTGGAATTAATGCAGCAATACCAACTAAAATACAAAAAGAACAAGAGTCACTTTACTTCTACAAAAGAAAATGTACAAATAGCCATCCCTATCATAATGCTTTGATAATAGGCATTCACTGAACTCAAACATTCGGGTTTGATTATTTTCAGTTAAATTAAGGTATTTTCATGATCGTCCGTATATCCATAAGTGACAGCACGTTTGGAATCTAGGATAACCTCAATAACTTTTACAAAATCTTCATGGCAAGGTTAAGAATATAGGGAGAGGAGGGGGTGAATTTATTTATATCATTCCCGAGGAAAACTCTTCACCTGATAAATCGCTTTTCAGTTGAGGCTATGTATATTATGTACGTAGATCCAAATGAGCTACAAATAGCTTGAAAAGAGTTCATGTCCTTAGCTTATTGGTACGGGGATACTGCACCTTTACAGTATTTTTAGTAGAATGTCGTGGTCTCCTTTATCAGACCTTGCCGTTGTTTCTGTCTTATGATACGACTATTCTGATAACATGTCTTTTACAGCAAGCATATTTCTATGCAATGTTTCACGCCAAAATTCGAAAATCAGTTTTCCTAAGGAGAACCACGGCATTCGTTTAAGAAATACCATAAATATGTAGTATCTCCGTGTTAATAATCTAAGGACATAAACCCTTTTTAGAGTATTCATAGCTCGTTTGAATCTAGATAATGCACATAGTCTCGATTCAAATGCAATTTATCACTTGGAGAACTTCACCCGTCAGTTGAAACACAGTTAGTGTTTCTTATTTCCAACTTACTTACTGAACAACACAAAAAATGGCGAAGCAACAATATTCATAAAAACCAAAGGAATCAACTGATGGGTTTACTCACTTTATTGAAAAATATTTCTTAGACGTGTAAGCATAGTCACTGAAGACGAAGAAAACTTTCAGTAGGTTTTAGTTTATCAAATTCTAGTTTTTCATACAGTTCTTCTTCATCTATAACGAAGGAGTACTACTTCAAATCATCGGCAATGTAGTGATAGAAAATTCAATGTTTTCTCCTAAGTCTGTTTCATTACAAACGATGTTACTTTTTGTTGCTGAAGGAGGTGAAAAATTTTGATGTTTGCACAAGAATTCCGTTACACTGCATTAATCTATTAATCTAATGAAACAAGAAGCAAATTTTTGAGCCTACGACACATGAATCTGAGATAGGTTTCAGCCTATTCAAGTCTCATGGCTTCACCGTCAATGCATATATTTCAAGAAACTCTTGAGCAAAATTCCAAATACTGGACATTGTCAGATCTGATTGGATAGTTTCCAAATATCGAGCCAGAGTTCAGTGCATGTCTTTTTGCTATTACTGATCACAAAATGTCTCTCATTTATTCATATCTCAAGAACAAGAAAATATTTCATTCGAAATCATTATATTTAAGTACATACGGAATATTATAAAAGTCATGACATAATAGTAAATTTGTATAATCCTAATATTAAAATTTATTTCATTCAACTTACAAGTTATAATAATAAGTCCAATTCGAAAAGCATGTTCAAATTTTGCTTGTGTTCTATTATTATATTTATAAACAATTTTACGAGAAATACGTGGCCAAAGAAGTGTAAATGGCACATAAAACTGAAGATTATATGTTAAAAATATTGCTATAGCATACATGATTTTTGTAAATTGATATAATCTATTTAAATAAATAAATAAATGAGGTATATATGAAAAATTCGTTCTATACTTATTATTAATTGGTAAATTTAAAGTAATGGCACCACGTGCACTTGAACCATATCGAATATATCCATAAAATCCAACAAAAAAATATACTATTGTTACAAGATACATTCCTGTATTTAATACTCCATTCCAACCATTATAAGCTTCAGGTTCTTTCATTTTTTGTCGAACTGGTAAAACCTAATGAAATCAAATTTCCCTATCGTTTTTTTTTCTCGTATTCCTTTTTAATCATTTTATAATAACATACTAAAGCAATTCCTTCGAACACATACATCGCCGATGCAAAGAATACCGGCCAATCTGATGCTTTTGTGATTAATGGTAATTCATTAAGTGGTATATGTGAACGTACAACATACTGCATAATAATGCATAATCCTATATCAATAAATAATTACACTTTTCCTTACGAGAGAAGTTCTCCAGCTGATAAATCGATTTTGAGTCGAGACTATGTGCATTATGCAGACATAAATGACTACGAATACTCTAAAAAAAGTTTGTGTTCTTAGCTTATTGCTCTACTTTTACGGTGCTTTTTAAATAAATGCTATGGTCCTCCGTAGGAAGAATGATTTTTCCAGTTTCGATTCGAAACTTTGCATAAAGACAGACGTTAACGAGAATAGATTTTTTTTAATGAACGTTTCTCATCTCGTTGATGTTCCTATTCTAGGATGCAACTATGGTAATAGCTTGTCTTTTACATTCCTTATATAGTCAAAAGAACTGAAATTTTTACAATAAAATATTATCGTCACGGCTTGTCTCTATGACAAGTTTCAAGTCAAAATTTGAAAACCAATTTTTCCGGTATTCCTCAAGAGAACCACGGCATTCATTTAAAAAATACCCTGGAAATGCAGTATCTCTGCAGCAATAATCTAAAGGTGCGAATCATTGTCAGAATATTTATAGCTCATTTAGGTCTGCATAATAGACATAGTCTCGACTAGATATCTGCAGAAACAGGCTTTTTTGGTCCCGATAGCTTCTTTTTGAGCAGTTACGATCATAGTCATGGGGAATCTAGTATGTTCCTGGTCCCGACGGTTAGGGCTAATCCCATATATGTCTACTCAAGTACAACAGTTATTGAAAAAAGAACACGATTAACAACTGAAGAACAATAGCTAAAATCATGTTTTTAAATAAAAATTTAGCTTATTGAAAACAATCACTAGAAAAGACAGCTTCTCCATCATTTATTCTAGGTAAACGTATATTATCACAAGATTTATCACAATTATATTTACAAACGAAAAATAGGACGATTGTCTAAAGATGACGAAGCAATATTCAGTGAACAAATACAATCAGACAATGACGAAGATATATTTTAGTGTTCATTATGATGAAATGGTTTATTTTATTTTTTATATAGGTGTGTATATGATTGTGATTTGTTTATTCATTAAGATTTAATATCTACAGATTTTATTTCTATTTATGTTGTCTTATTTATCAATGCGTGTTTGTTTTTGCATTACAAGATATCAGTATGAAAATGGTAAACTAGTTCCGTACATATGTAGTCTCGACTCAAAAGCAATTTTTCAGTTGAAGGACTTTTCTCGCTAGTCTCTATTGACTTTTTTTGTTTTTTCATATCTTCTTTTTTACTTCACCTCCAATAGTAATTATATTAGCAGCAAGTGAAAATGGTGCAAGAACTTTTAAACTTCTTATCATTGAAAATCCAATAATAAGTACAAGCATAATTAATTGATAAATTTGTATTACTGGACTACGTGTTGAATAAAAATCAACAACTTGTTTTACACTTGCTGGTACAAAAACAAAATAGACAGAACAAAAACCAAGTTGAATTAAAACGATAAAACCATCAATAACAAATCTAATTAAAGAATAATTATTTTTAATTTTAATATAAAATTAAATATGTATTTAATTACTTTCCTAATTTTGAATGACGTTGAGCAAATCGCCAACGACATGTTTCTAATGTATATCGCATAATATCACCAAAATCACATTTAGATCTTGATGTACTATAAAAAACAAATTATTTTTTTTGAATTTTTTTTTGGATAAATATTGATTTTAAATATTAACCGATGTCGATAGTATTCATGACATCGAAGTAATTGATGCATACAATAAAGTGTCATTGCACCCATCATCCAAAAAGCGATAGGACCAAACTATAAAAAAAAATTAATTAGAGAAAAAATAATAATAACTAAAACATACAATTAATCCAGCTTTTGATAATGCATAAGGAAATGCAAGAATACCAGCACCTACATTGCCTTTAAGTAAATGCATTAATGTTTCAGTATTTCTAAGTAAAAACAAAACAATTCATCATCATTATCTTTAAATTTTAGTTTATTTACGTTGTTTGATGTTCATTTGGATCACCGGTAAACGAAGCAACAAGTGGTGCAATCTAAATATATCATTGTTAAAGTTTTAAAAAATCGTTTTTAGAATAAGAATGTACTTTCAAAGCACTACTAAATTAGTGGAGATATGCTCAATAGCCTTATTTTGTATTATATTCTAAGAGTAATTAATGATATAAAAACCACTAATCATTCTCATTGTCCCAACAGATTCTAAAAACGAGAATTTATTATCAAGAATAAAACATGATTGAATATTTTTTTTGCTCATGCATCATATTTCTCAATATTTAGAACGGAAAATAGCAAAATAAATCATTTGTTGAGCGGAAATACTTTTAACAAAAAGAGTTACATATAATACGGAAGTAAGACGAGATAATTGTACTACAATAAGGATTAAACATATTTGAAACATCAACTCAAATAAATGTACTTGAAGTAAACATTCACATCAAGCACATTCATTAGAAATTTTGCTTATTTATAATTCTACATTTTTCTAAAATCAATTGAAAGATCAAAGTAACATTTTTACATACAGCTTCATTTTCATTATTTTCATCTGCATGAGATGTTATTGAACTTGCAAGATCATCCGATTGTGTTACAATAGGATAACTAATATTGTCTGAAATCGATGCATCAGTTGATATTGGAACATCTGGTGATTCAATTAATGTTTCCGTTTGACTAAAACATGGTTGTAATATCAGAGAATTCGACATTGAATATCACAAAAAATAAAATAAAATCTTGTTTTTTTTTTTATCTTGTCACGTTGACTGAGGTTGCTCAATGCAATAACAAACTGTCTAATCCAACCAATAAAAAACTTCTCTCGAGCCTCCTGTCAAATATAATGTTGACATTGATTGTAACACACTCATTTCAATTCAACGAATCCGTATCGTTCTTCACATGTGAATAATTCAATTGTTGTTTATACTTTTTTTTT